CCTTTTCTTCGTTCAAGTGTTAGCTGAAGAGGTTTTTAACATCCAGCAGCTTACAGGCAAGACGCTCACCGATTTTTCATCAACCCAGAAGAGCAGCACCAGACGCGGGCAGACGAGAAGGGTCCAGAGGGGAACAAGCCACAGACCGATAGCCGAACGTGAACCGGGAAGAACACAACATGTGTTCAATACTTTTTCCCTGTGCCATTCCATTCCACATTATTACAAATAACTTCATTTCTGGACATTTATGGTTTGATTTCTTTGTATGTATGGATCACTTGGGTTGTTACCAACATCTGGTGAAAATTTCATGTCATTGGCACCTCTAGTAATATATTTACTGAGAAAAATGGTGACGTGTTCAATACTTATTTTACCCGCTGTATATCTTAACCAGATTCTTCCTTTCAGGGTCACTGGTGCTCATATCCAGCAGTCACAGTGAGGGGTGGGTACACCCTGGAAACAAGTTTATCACAGTAAATAAGAAATAATATTTCCTTTCACATTGTTCATAAATCTCATGTGAAGCTCATCGCAGTTTCAAATAAACAACTTAYTAATAATAATAATAAKAAGAAAAATACTTTGCGTACTGATTGAAGATTATGTTGAAATAAAGTTTTGATTTTTATATTGCATTACTCCAATGTGGGTTGTACTGAAAACCAAACTTGAGATTTAAGCAGTGAAAACAAACGCTGGGACTTCCTGAGTTCAACGTTTTCAACAGGGACAATATTAATGTCACCAACATGGAGACTTTCCCACTAAACAAACAAACTGTTGTGTGCTGCCAGGATGTGATGAGATCATATGCAAGCTGCTCTGTTTGGACAGAAGTGTTAAAACAGTTAATTCGCTGCATAGTGTGTCGAAAACTTTATCTGGAATAAAACCTATTAGAAATATGCTTCTTGCAATGGATACAGTTCAAACACTGATTTGTGGCTGTTTGTTTTTTAGGGGAAGATTTTACAGGAGTTAATCATATACAACTCATGTGTCATACTGTGGTATATATTCATGTGGTTTAGGTATTTGGTGAGTATAAACAATGAATTTACGAATAATAACACTAGTTAATAAATATAAATGTTTCAGTTTRTGAGACTGATCCCAGGAGGTTCATTTAGGACTTTAAGTTGCAGAATTTGTTTAGAACCAGGATGTGTTTACCTTGTGTGTTCCAACATTTAAATGTTGTAATATTTGTTATGATTTTAGCTTGTAGTTTTTGCTATGATTTATAAATCAGCAAAATCACACTTGATGCTTCGCTGGTCACTTGTAGGCCTACAAATAATGTAGTAATGTTTAAATGCCTAATCCATATTTTAATGCAGGCTAATCAAATGTAATCAACAGTGCGTTTTAAACTTCGTTAAATAAAAGCTTTTAGGAATTGTGTACCTAGTTGTGAACACAGAGGGTGATTGTGTTTGCTAACCACAGTGTTTACCTGATATTCGACCTCCATCGTACCATTCTTTATTGCTGTCTGGAAGAAACACTCGGATCTTCCGGCTGGTAGCAGAAAGGTAAACTCGCTGTCTAGGCTGGGCCGGAAACAGCACACGGAACCAGCACAGCACAGGAAGACTACTGCCAGGCCCAGCAGCTGTCCTCTGAGCGTTACTTTCATCCACAGAGCATCCATGGTGAGAAATATGTCCAAACCCGTAGGCTATCTGTGCACAGCCATCTCTCCTTCTCATCTGTCTTCCGCAAAAGAACTTTGCGATGTTCTGATTGGCTGGAGTCCGCAGTGCTGTCGACCAATCAGACGATGAAGAGTAGGAGAGATCATCCAATAGCAGTCGGAGCCGTCCAGGCACTTGTTTTATTTGAACAGAGGCGTTGTTAAGGTTTTTAAATCCAGGCCACAAATATTTCATTAGTCAGGTGGTGTATTAGAGCTACACAAAGAAACATATATATTTTTATTAAGAGGGAAAAAGACATAATATTACAAGGAAAAAGGCACGATTCATTTCTGTTCCTGGGTCGGCTCAGCCACCTGGACAGGCTCCAATTACATTTTGGTCATTATTAGTGTAATATGCTTCCATCTAAATTATCTAATGATTAAATCTATCAAAGCAACCAATAATTGCAATGTCATATGGTAGTTTTATTTTATCATATGAATCAATATAGTCGTTTGCATAATTGTTTGAAAATGTGATGCTGATGTGTTATTTAATATTTGTAAAACTGATACCAAAATATAACTTTACAATATGCTCAACATTAATCATTTTAATGCAGTGGTAAAGCTGCTTTGAGTTCTCATAATATTATTCTCTTAATATTATGACTTTTTTGGAGTAATATTATTACCCTTTTCTTGTAGTATTTGGCTAAGGTATGGTAATTTTATGACTTTATTCTAGTAATATTATGACTTTATTCGCGTAATATTACGACTTTATTCTAGTAATATTACAACTTTATTCTGGTAATATCATGACTTTATTCTGGTAATATTAAGACATTATTCTGGTAATATTATGACTTTATTCTGGTAATATTAAAACTTTATTCTGGTAATATTAGGACTTTATTCTAGTAATATTAGGACTTTGTTTTAGTAATAATATGACTATTCTGGTAATATTAGGAATTTATTATGGTAATATTCGGACTTTATTCTAGTAATATTATGACTTTATTCGGGTAATATTAGGATTTTATTCTAGTAATATTAGGATTTTATTCAGGTAATATCATGACTTTATTCTAGTAATATTACAACTTTATTCTGGTAATATCATGACTTTATTCTAGTAATATTACAACTTTATTCTGGTAATATCATGACTTTATTCTAGTAATATTACAACTTTATTCTGGTAATATTAGGACTTTTTTCTAGTTATATTACAACTTTATTCTGGTAATATCATGACTTTTTTCTAGTAATATTACGACTTTATTCTGGTAATATTAGGACTTTATTCTGGTAATATTACAACTTTATTCTGGTAATATTATGACTTTATTCTAGTAATATTACAACTTTATTCTGGTAATATCATGACTTTATTCTAGTA